TCAGCTTCCGCCAGGATATTCAGGGGAAAACAAAGAACATTTGGCTCCTGAAACATCCAAAGTCGTTCATACTTCTGAGAACCATGCTTTGCTTTGGAAAAATCACTCCTATTCTTCCCGACTGTATGCTCCTTTCTTTTCCTTCTTCATACATGCCTGGTTCTCACTTCTGGGAAGTTTTTCCTACCCAGTGACTATCCCCATGGATTGATCACTCCTCATACCATTTTTCCTATTTCTAAATCTTGTAAACAAATGTATTATTTCATGTATCACAGTTTGTTGTGAGAGCATTAAAGTGTCTCTACCCCTTACTAGGTTGTGAAATTTTGAAGTCAAGAAATATGTTTTTCTTCCTTTTGTAACCTCAGAGTTTTACGTGGGATTGGTGATACGGCAGATGGTCAGGAAGTGTGAAACACGGTTGATAATATCACAAAAGTAAGTCCAATAAAGGTGACCAAAATTAAACTGTATCAATTCCATGCCTGGTTGTATATAGAAAAAAGCCAAAAACACTAATTTGAAAATTATGTGCACCTCAATGTTCATAGCGGCATTGTTTACAATTGCCAAGATATGGAAGTAAACTAAGTGACCACCAACAGATAAATGGATAAAATAGATGTGGAATGTATATACAATGGAATACTACTCAGCCATAAAAAGAATGAAATGTTGCCATTTGCAGCAACATGGATAGACTTGGAGGGCACTATGCTATGATGAAGTAAGTCAGACAGAGACAGACAAACACTGTATGATGTTACTTATATGTGGAATCTAAAAAGTCCAACAAACTAGTGAATATAACAACAACAAAAAAGCAGACTCACAGATGTAGAGAGCACACTAGTGGTTCCCAGTGGGGACAGGGAAGAGGGGAGGGGCAATATAGGGGAAAGGCGTTAAGAGGTACAAACTATTATGTATAAAATAAGCTACAAGGATATATTGTACAATATGGGGACAACAGCCAATATTTTATAATAACTATAAATGGAGTATAAACTTTAAAAATGGCAAATCACTACATTGTACACCTGTAACTTATATAATATTGTACATCAACTGTGCTTTAATAAAATTTTTAAAAAATAAAGTACATCACTACAAACTAGATTTCACACATGTATTTCATCCATAAATGAACCTAAAAACGGAGAAAAGAGAAAAATCTATAGAACCACTCTCTTATACTCCAAGTTGTCATGCTGATTAGGCAGAGAACAGCGTGACCTCACTAGAGTGGGCCCAGCACTAAGATTTTGATACATTTTCTAAAGACCCTCATTCACGATTACTTTAATATTTTTTTCAAGTTCTTGACGGCCAAATAGACTTGGGGGACAATTACCTTCTGGTAAGAATGCAGTGACAAGGCATGCCACGCCTGCCACTATATTGCTTGCTGCAAAGGGTAGGCGTCGACCAAAACGTTCAATGGTTAGTAAGATCAGGACGGCTCCAGGCAGTTCCACAATTCCTGAGATGAAAAAGTCTATGTAGAGGTTGCCTCCTATAATTCCCAGGCGCATGACAAGTCCTTGATAAACCACTGCACTCGTGAACCTGGAGCAACACGGGAAGACAGGAGAGAACAAGTAAGGGATAACTTCAACCTGACTGGAAGAAAGAGATGCGTTGTAAACTTGACACAAGCTTGTGAATCCATCACAAGCCAAACTTACCAAGCAAACATCAGTATAAGTGTGCACTTCCTCATTTGGGGAGTTCTCACCAGATCTAAAAAGGATGGATTACTAATTTCCTCATCTGTAACAGTGATCTACATAAAAGAAGCAGATTTCAGTAGTGATACACAGCATATTATAGGTTTGTCATTGACCCGATTCAAAGCTACCAAATAATCTTGAACTGAACTGACCAGGGTCTGTCTTTATTATATCTTAAAACCTGAGAAGAAAAAGGTTGGTTCTCTAGCCTTTGGAATAGGTCAAAATTCACAAAGATCTGGTTGCTGCACGGAGAATCTATTCCTAGGCTGACAGCAGCAGCCCTGTCAGCTAAACTGTTCTGAGTGAACAAGGAACAATGGTGTGTTCTAAAGTAAAAACATTTGTGCGTTTATTAAATTGGAGAAAACAAGCATTAAAATGATGAAAGCAGGTGGCACCCAAACAAGTTCCTTTCTCTATTAAATCCTCAGACCTTGTGCTGCCACATAAGCTAGAGTGATGGTAAATTCAAGAGCAAGCTATCCTTTTGCGACTGTCCATTTACTGGAATCTAGCATCTTTCTGAGCCAGGAAAAGTCCGCTCTTCTCTATCTGGCCGTGTGAGAAGTTGGTCTTTTCTTTGATTCAGTTAGATGAATATTGCTGTTTGCTTACTATGTATAAGGCACATAGCCTACTATGTCTGGTCTAGTGCATCAAAAAATTCATAACTCAATTCCCTGAGCGACAACTGTTTCACATTTCCGTGCTCTGGCATATTCCGTTACCTCTGCTTCAAGAGCCCTCGGATTGCCCTGGTCCTGAGTTTGCCTCCACTGGGAGGGCTTCCCGAAGCGCAGGTAGAACTGATCACCCCCCGTCTGTGCGTCTGCTTACCAGGCTTCAGTCATAGCACCACACAACTGCATGCCTTTATGGTCTACTTATGTCCCTCTCTCTGCGAGCTCTGGAGTTTCTGGAGGGCAGGGCCTGCACTGCAGCACCAAGCAAAGTGCTCGGCGTCCAGCCAATGTTTGGGATGAATGAATGTTGAAACAGGAAGTCAAGTGCCCTGACCACGTCTGTTCCCTCAGAGTGTTGCCCTCAGTCTTTGTCCTTCTGTTAGGTGAGAACCCTGGCTGGTAAAAACAGGGCCCTTACTGTCTGCTTACTCAACCCCAGATCTGGTCCAGATTGAGTGGAAATCTAGGCAAAATTTCCCCGAGCCTTTGAGTCAAAATCTTTCTACCAGCAATCACAGGAATTTGACTTCGAGTAAATCCATTGTGATGGTGTCTCGTCATCACCCGCTCTAAACAGAAGACTCTGAACAATTTCCTTCTGCTCAGGTCCATCCCATTGTCAACATCCCAGAGTTTAAGGGAAATCATATTTCACATATTTCAAGATCTCTTGTCAATTCAGATAGACAACTTGACATTTAAACATCTTTGTAGATTTCTTAATTCTGATAAAATAAATGAGCATCTCTTGCCTTCACGTTAGCTCTGCAG